GCATGTTTGTAATTGTGTAAAAAAAAGTGAATACATGTGAACCACATATTTTTTTCCAAAAGTGGAAGTTGGAAGAATTAATTAGGACGACCCAAAAAAGAAAGTTGGAAGAAATGATCGAGACAGATGAAGTATTAGGTATGTGGTAACATTTTTTCCTAAACAGAAATTCACCCATAATATTCTAATTAATTAATTTCTTCTATAATTCTCTTGGACAACTAGGTCAGTCCGTTGGTGGCGGGACAGTCCGATGGAGGCAGCGTAGCTCTGGCGACTTCAGTCTGGAGGCGGTGGCAGTCGGACTAGGATTTTTTTTAGATTTTTTTGGCACCGCCGAAGCTCCGGCAGCGACCACATTTCAAAGGCGCGAATCTAAATGTCAGTGACGATGTGAGACGTAGCCATTGGGCTTACTAACCACAGAGGTAGTTTTGTCCAATCCTTAAAAAAGCTCCTATTTTGGAAATATTCAAACTACTATTCATATTTTTGTGTTTTTAACATGTTTTACTCCTGGAATTATATACTCCGTATCTATTTTGGAATTTTATGTGATCTCTATTTATAGCTTAATTATATTCATCCTTTAACAAATGCAACCCAATCATGAAGCACTCAGTGGGCGTCGCCAGCGGCCTCCGGAGAAGTATAAGTCTGTCCTCCGGCACAGACATCTATCGCACCACCAGTTCCGATCACGACCCCTGCTGGAAGGCCATCACCATCGCTAGCCGCTCTGCCGCGCTTGCCCTATCCGATCTCCGCTTCATAAAGCGGCTCGGCTCTGGCAACATCGGGTCGGTCTATCTCGTGGAATTGAAAAGTGCGGCGGGGGCGCTGTTCGCGGCGAAAGTGATAGACAAGAAGGAAATGGCAAGGCGTGACAAGGAGAGACGGACGAGGACGGAGCGGGAAATTCTGGAGATGATGAACCACCCGTTCCTTCCCACGCTCTACGCCGCCATTGATTCTCCGAACTGTTCATGCTTGTTGATGGAGTTCTGTCCCGGCGGCGACCTTCACTTCATTCGCCAGTATCATCAGCCTTCAAAACGATTCTCCAACTCCACCGTAAGGTATACTTGAAATATAATTTGCCTCGTTTTTATTCAAAGAAGTGTCATTGTTGGTTATACGTATGAAATTAAGAATTGAACCCCATTTATTGACGTACCATAGCGGCATGTATTAACTTGGGTCTGCTCGTTGCTTCTTAGTTCCCAACCCCAAATCAGTAGGAATACGGAGGTTGGAACCAGTGCCTCGATCGAGGAGCTTCTCCCATCGTTAAGTTTCTCCCTAGCGGCTTAGCATCACGTAGGGTTCTGTGACTTTGGCGTCGTTTAGGGTTTTCCTTCGACCAATTGTTTGTGCGTCTATTCTTCTCTAGATTTTTAGAGTTCTTTTTAAGGAAGCGTGAGTGCGATTGCAACTTTTAGAATCGAATCCAAGGTTCAAGAAACGATAATCATGTCTTCTATGAATGATATATAGCAGTGTGATCTCATTCCTGCAATTGAGGAGGATGTTGAAGGGTTAGTTTCTAGCGCATCAACATGGGTAGAGGGCAGTGGCGGAACTGCCGGGGGGCCAAGGGGTCTGTGCCCCTGCTTCGGCCGCCGAGCTAGGGTATATATAGCGGGTTTTGGGGTCACCGGAGGTGTCCTCTGAAGTTTCCGGCGAGCTGGTTGGAGCTTTGCGGCTGGCGTCTGCTGCAGGGAAGAGGAAGACCTTTTTTTTATTTGAACTGTACGACGTCGTTTGGGTGGAGCCCAAAGCCCATCAGCCTGCAGCCCAAAGCAACCTATTTTTCCATTTTCTACTAATAATCCAAAGCAGTCCCGCACTTCCGCCCCTGCTATCCGTAATTCCGCAAGAGTGCAAGACCTCCACAGACCAGCAGGCAGCACTCTGCAGCAGCGTTGCAGACTCGCAGTCAGGGACGTCGGAGTCCGGACGCTGGTCACACCGCCACGGCGCCACACGGATCGCCATTCCACCAGCCGCCAGTTGCCGTCTTGCCGATTTGGTATGTTCCGACTTGCTATTTTTCTCCTATTTTAAATTAAATAAAATTTGATATTTCACTATTGATTTTGTTAAATTTATAGTTATGATTTGAAAAATATGTAGCGTAAAATAGATTGAATTAAATATAACGATTATGTGTTATTGTAATTTTTTGTGTTAATGTATTATCTGTATTAATCAAGTATTTATAATAATTTGACTTCAATTATTTTTTTTTGTTTCAATATTTGTCATTAGGGGATGTCAATTGAGAAGTATTTTTCCCGAAAAAAAAAATGAATAGGTTCTGATGCTAGTTCTTCAAATGTTTCTGTACGAGCCACACCTATAGACACGGATGGTAGGATTGGCAGCGAGAGTGGGAGTAGGATTAGACAAACTCTTATTGATGGAAATGCGGTGACGGATAATGATCAGAGAGAAAAAAGACCTAGATTAGATAATGAGCTTGAGAATGAAGTAATTGGCGATCCGGGTTAGCACCATTACGTCAACCCTTTTGATTAAATTTGGCGATCCGGATTATGTTGTGCCCCTGTTTAATTTTTTCTCTAGTTCTGCCACTGGTAGAGGGCGGTGGTGGTAGTGGAGGCAAAATGGGCTACGAGAAGACGGAGAGAGGTGAAGGGCTGAGCAAGGTAGAAGAAAGATCGACAGTCTGCCCCCCTCTTGAACCACTGCCTTGGAGCGGTCTAGATGCTAGGGTTTCGAAGATTTATCAGTTATTTAATTTTTATGGTTTATTTTTGCGTTATGTTTTATGTTGCTCTGTTTTTTTTATGTCATTAGTTTTAGGTTTACAATTATGATTGACAATTCGGCTAGGTATTATGTTATTAGAAGGATCTATATGGCGAGTGATTGTTGTGTCACACCCGCTTAGTGGTTAGCGATTCGTATTGCTCTTTCAAGGATGATCGTCTCTGAGTCTAGTCATAGGGTTGATAGTGCTAGTTGGTTATGAATAGTTATTGTCAGGGTTGGTCTTTTTGAGTTTGTAACGATCTGATTCATAATGATATTAATATAAGCAGTTTGTTTTGATGATAAGAAAAATGTACCATTTTTGGCATCATGGGTCAGTTTTGTATCCGGACCCCCTTACCCTCTCTCATTTTATATGTCTTACTTTGATTTGACAAAATTATTAATAAAATGATTCAAAGAGTAAAAGTTATGAATGAGATTTGAGTATATTACAATGTACTCCCTCCGGTTCTAAATAAACTTCACACTTTCCATTTTGGGTAGGTCCAAAATAAACTTCACACTTCTTCTCTCTTCCTTATTTGGCAAATTATCTACATCAAAACAGTGCAAAACAGTGTCAAACAGTGCCAAATAGTGTCACAACAGTGTACTCTACAGTAAGTCAAATTAATTCCTTAATTTGTGTGAAGTCAAAGTATGAAGTTTATTTAGGATCAGAGGGAGTAATAGTGCAGTTTCTTTCCAAACAAAGAAAATGTGACACTTTTGAGACAACCCAAAAATAAAGTAAGACAGGTAAATAAGACGGATGGAGTAACATTATATTTAACTTCGTCACTTAATTGTGTAATTATAAAAGAGTAATATCGAAGAAGTAAGGATGTTTAAGTTGGATTAGTTTGGGAATGGTTTCGTTGGATTCAATTTTTTTAGAAGGTCTAGCCTGGAATGATGAATGTATATTCTACATGTATTTTACATATGTGCTCTGAATTGCTTCTAGACTCGGTTTTTGGAAAGTTTGGGGGAGACGACTTCTAAATTGATTCTGATTCTATTGTTATTTACGAAAAAAGTAGAAACAAAATTAATCTCAAACACCTTTATAATTGAAGTCATTGATGATAACTATGATGTTATAGATGTGATATTTTTAAGAAATAACGACAAACACATGACTAAAATAAAGGTAATGGTAAAAAATGTGACTCGGTCTCAATGCTTTAGTCACTATAATAGTAATTTTAGTGACCATGATGACGTTCTAATTTACATTGTAAGGGCTATGATATTATGCTTGTGGTAACTTAAGTCATACGTAATACATAGTATATTTTTTCCATCACTATATTTAAGTACATAGTAATATTTAAGGAAAGAAATTTATTTTTAATATTTGATCATTGAATTGTCTTTTAAGAGTGTTAATTATTTTGTAAAATGAAAATGAGAATCTTTAGGCGAGAAAATTAGGAAAATTAACCCACTTAGCCAAGACTTTAAATAAGGGAGAACTAACAAATAAGCATGCAACATATTTAGATGGTGTACTCTCACTCCTCTCTATATTGAAATTATTATCATCACCCATTTTACTGTAGGGTCCACACTAAAAATGTTGTGAATTTTATGTAAATATACTTTAAAAAATGCTTGATGTATATTTTTTGTGCACACATTGTGTTTGTCTATTATAAATACGGAAATCTAGTCTGATATGGTCTGTTTAAGTCGATCTGGTCTGGTAAACCTCTGATGTATGTGTATATTATAAATACGAAAATCTAGTTTGGTCTGATTTGATCCGTTCTTGTCTTTTTAAGTTTGCTCTGATCTTATGTGAGTCTAAAAAAAGTCCAACTGTCCAAGTAGAAAATCATTCTTGGATAGGCAAAATGCGGGACTGTCAATGTTCAATGGTACCTTTGAACACTGGCATGACTCCATAGACCATAGTAGCTTAGCTATGGTACCATATATGATGTGGTATGAATATCAACCATTCTTGATGTACACACCCTTGTACACACCTTATACATACCATGTTTGTGAAGTTTTTTTTGTCTGTGAATCCGGTTCACAGACAATATTTTGTTTGTGCAAAACATTGTCTGTGAATCAATGTTCACAAACAAAAAAAAGCTTTCACAGACATAGGTGTGTACAAAAGTGTGTATAAGAGTGTGTACAAACATCATTTTTGTATGAATATAGTGTGCCAAATTGGCAATAATAGCTAAAGTTTATAGCATACATCTGATTTCTATGCTTTAATTTGGTGGTGCCCTCTCTCCAGGTTCTACGCATCAGAAGTGGTTGCAGCCCTTCAGTACATTCACATGCTGGGAATTGTTTACCGCGATCTCAAGCCGGAAAATGTGCTGATCCGATCGGACGGCCACATCATGATGACGGACTTCGACCTATCCTTGAAATGCGACTCAACGCCAGCCGCCGTAGTTCCCTTACAAAATCCACCGCCAGACGCTTCTCCAAATAATAACGACAAATTCCGGATCTGCAACAACATCCCCACGCCGAAACTCGGCTGCACAGCTCCGGCGGTTTCGTGCTTCCACCAGAGCTGGAAGCGCAACGGAAAGAGCCGAAAACGTAAGCACTCGCTGCTCGAGATGGTGGCGGAGCCGATAGACATCCGGTCGATGTCGTTCGTCGGAACTCACGAGTACTTGGCCCCGGAGGTCGTGTCGGGAGAAGGCCACGGCAGCGCGGTGGATTGGTGGACGCTCGGGATATTCATTTTCGAGATGTATTACGGCACGACGCCGTTTAGAGGAGCTGATCACGAACATACCCTGGCTAACATTCTGGCTCGGGCGGTGGAATTTCCGAAGGAGCCCGTCATTCCCGCCGCCGCGAAGGATCTGATAACGAGATTACTGGTAAAGGATCCGGCGAGGAGGTTGGGGTCTCAAATGGGAGCCACGGCGGTGAAGCATCACGCCTTCTTCTACGGGGTGAATTGGGCACTCTTGAGACGTGAAACGCCGCCGTTTGTCCCTCGGAGTATAAATCCAAGTGATTTTTCAAATGAAACTTGTTCAGACATTCCAGTGGAGTATTACTAATTGATTATTACCGAACACTATTCTGTAAACTTCACTTGTTTTTGAAATTTATCCTTCAAAAAATTAATGATCTAAAATTGTCTAGTTTATGTTACAATTTTATCTCAATTCATAGGCTAGTTAGGTATTCAAGATATAAACAATTGATCTTTGAATAACACGGAGTATATTAAGAACTAAGAAGCAAGTACTTTATTATTTTATCAATTCAATTTTCCTCACAATCGTGTTTATGTTAGGGTATGGGGATTTCAAATGGTATAATCCAATACCATAAATAATATTCATGTACGGGGTCAATACTGCTTATATATTCACGTACCACCAATTTTTATGAATAATTATGATATAAAAAGTTATGTGGTGGATGTCATTGTTGTCGAAGTTACGGTGTCTCTGTGACCGGTTTCACTATGATCGATGTCATCGGAGATTGGATTGTGGATAATTCAATATATTTAATGCTTACTAGTCACATTAATATTTAGAATTAAAAGATATCGCTGATAAGCCATTTGTTATCTTTCAAGTCAAAAGACCAAAAACAATTCAAAACCCTAAACAATTTCACCAAGCATAAGTTTTGATTGATCATTAAGTTTAACCAGCTAAATATGGTCATGTCAACCAAAAATGACTGATAAGTCATTTGTTATCTTTCAAGTCAAAAGACCAAAAACAATTTTTTTTTGAAATTTTGGGAGCTAGGGGTGGACAAAAACATCAGACCAGCCTGGTACCAAATCGGACCGGTATGGTACCGGACCCAAAAACGGAGTTTGAAACGATTTTCAAAAGTTTTGTTTCGAACCAGATCACACTGGTTCCAAACCATGCTATGACTGGTTCTCATAAAATGAGAACCGGTACCGAACCAGACCAAAGTACAATTTATATAATTAATAATTACATGTAGATGCATACCATCATTTTGATAATTTGCTCGAAGCTTGGATTGCTTCTCGCTGCGGGGGGGGGGGGGGGGGGGGGGGGGTCTTAATGGGGTGAAGTCCATCCCAATTTTTCTTATTTATTCCTACCTCTGTCTCTTAAAACTTTGCCAAATTTGACCGACACGGAGAATAATAAAGTAAAAACTATGCGGTTGAGGTTTGTGCGGAGAAGAGAGAAATAATAGAAACCACAAAATAATTGATTAAAAGAGAAAGTGTCTAAGTTTTTTGAGACGTCCCAAAAAGGAAAGATGACAATGTTTTAAGGGAAGGAAGAAGTATTATTATTATAGCCTTATAGGGATAGTATTTAAAAATTGATGTTCAATCGAGAGATGATACGTTTGTAATTTCCATATGTATGTTTGTGTTTTTAATTAGTTTTGATTGAGTTTTACTTTGGAAATTACACACTTTTGGTGTAATAGTTTAGTTTGTTTAATTCTTGTAAATTGTTTAGATTAGGATCATTCTGAGCTCAAACAGGTCTTGATCGCCCAAAGGACAGTTGGTGAACCCCAAAAAGTGGAAGGAATGTGCATAATTTGAAGACAAAAGAAGGATCCTGAAATTTTGGTCTATACCCGGTCGAGTATAACCTATACTCGATCGGGTATCTTGTTGAAACTTCAAATCGGAGCGGATCCAAAGATAAAGGATCATGCAGAGAAGATTCGGACCACGATCGAGTGTCCATACCCGATCGGGTACACCGACACACCCGATCGGGTATCTCTTCAAAAACAAACTTAAATTCGGTCGAGTATGCCCCGGATCTGAATTTATAAGCATACTCGACCGGGTACAAAGGTATACTCGATCGGGTATGCTTATGAAATTTTCCCTTTGATCGATCGAGTATACTTCGAATTTGAGGTATTACACATACTCGATCGGGTACCTTGTATATACCCGATCAGGTACCCGAGCTGCATCCCAAGAGCCTATAAATACACCCCCTTTCCTTCACAAATAGGGATCCAATTTCTTTATACATCTAAGTTCAGTCTAGAATAGTTCTTTCTTTATATTTTCTTCATGTTTAGTCTCCAAATGAGGAACTAAACTCTTCCATCTTGGTTTTGCTACTTTGAAGCTTAATGATTTGTAAGTTGTGAGTTATTTTCTTTAATCTTCTTCCTCGATAATTAATTCTTTCCTATTCATATTCCATATTAATATTTTGAGCATTACTTAAAGTATCAATTAGTTTTGTTTCTTATATTAATTATTACTAGAATCAATCGGTTAATACGCTTGTTATTAATCCGGTTCTTTCAACAGTAGTAAACTTGGATTATTCATCCATGCATCTCATGGTTAATATGCCAAGGGGAATTAATTATATTGATTAAACCAATAAACCGCTTGTGTTGAGGTTATCAATCTCAATCGTTTTCATCTTAAGTTTATTGCTACTATCAAGTTAATATACGACGCTTGTTCTATATTGACTCGAAAGTAAGTTTTATTAATGAACGCATCTCGTTATTAATAACTACCCTCGATGAACTGGATATACTCCTCGATTGAGTATTCGAGAGGAAGATAGTTAAAGATATAACCGGAATAGACGAACATTTCATTAAGTGGATAAAAGCAAAACCAAGTCCTCATCTCTATTATTTAAATCACATAAGTCATTCATCTTAGTGTTAATTAAATTAAATCAAATCAAACTTAACCCCCCCCCCCCCCCCATTTTTGTTACTCTTATTATAAACGATAAATATTCCTTTCCCTGTGGATACGAATCTTACTTCGTTATACTACGTATATTCGTTGTATTGTATTTATTTTGAGTGCACCTCACGACAAGTGCACGTCAAATTTGGCGCCGTTGCCGGGGAAAGACAATAATTTTTCTTTTATTTAATTTCAAGAAAAATCAAAAAATAAAAATTAAATAAAAATATAAAGAGTTCTTATTTTTCTATTTTTGATCTTTGAAGTATATGGTTAAATATCGTTCACTGAACAAAATCACCTACCAATCAAACCCCGAAATAGAACAAACTTTCGAGCGGTTGAAAAGTAAATTTTCTAATACCGACTCAGAAGAATCATCTATCAGAGATTCATCCACCGCTAGCTCAAGTTCTAGAGAATCCGAAGAGTCCTTCCACATGGCTCTTGAAACAAGAACACTGAGGGAGCTCACAGCTCCAAACTTGAACCAACAACCGTTATGTATTACATTCCCTACACTTGATGAGGGTAATACATTTGAGCTAAAATCTGGGCTCATTCATCTGCTGTCATCCTTCCATGACCTGAGAGGAGAGGATCCGAACAAACACCTCTCTGAGTTTCACGTCGTTTGCACAAGCATGTGTCCAAACGGTGTGACAGAAGAACAAATCAAACTGCGGGCTTTTCAATTTTCTCTTAAGGATACTTCAAAGGATTGACTATTCTATCTTCCTTCGGGAAGTATAGGTACATGGGCGGCCATGAAGAAAGCTTTCCTCGAAAGGTATTACCCTGCCTCTGTCTCCTCATCTCTAAAAAAGCAGATTAGCAATGTGGAGCAAGAGGATGATGAATCGTTCTACGAATATTGGGAACGATTCAAGAAACTTTGTGCAAGCTGTCCATACAACGACTATTCGGAGCAAGACCTCATTTTATACTTCTATGATGGTCTTTGCAATGAAGATAGGCGGATGATCAACGCCGCATGTGGAGGGGGGATTGTCAACAAGACTCCTTCTAAAGCTAGAAACCTTATCTCGGAGTTGGCCGAGAATTGTAGACACTACGATCAGCGGTCATCAAAACGAGTTATGGCGGCGGAATCCAACAACTCGTTGAAAAGTCAAGTAGCCGGCTTGACTTCTTTGGTTAAAGATTTTCTCTTAAATCCAAAAACCCAATAAGTCAAGGTCTGCGGCATATGCTCGACACAAGGGCACCCCACCGACTCTTGCCCAACGCTACAAGATGAGAACTCCGAGCAAGTCAATGCTTTGGGGTTTCAAAGTCAAAAGAGGTATAACCCTCACGACAACACCTACAACCCGAGATGGAGGGATCATCCTAATTTGAGATATGGAAACTCTCAACCTCCTCAACCATCTAACCTTCCCCCTCAACAATATAAACAACAAGGCCAAACTTCGAACTCGAACATGTCCACCGAAGACATGATTCGATCACTTGCCATGAACATGGCAACGATGCAACAAAGTGTGGTCCAATTTCAAGAAACAACAAAATCCAGCATCCACAACTTGAAAAGCCAAATCAGCCAAATCTCAAATGCCGTGAGTAGGCTTGAAGCTAAGGATTCGGCAAAGCTACCATCTCAAACGGAGCCGAATCCTAGGCAACAAGCCCATGCAGTCACATTAAGGAGTAGCAAGGAGTTCATTATTGCCAAGGAGAAGGCAAATAGCCACACTGGCGAAGAGGAGGAAGAAGAGGAGCTGGTGGAAATAACTCAACCGGAGGTGGAAGTTCAAATCTCAACCCACCACCGGTCATCCCCGAAATTGAAGCACCCTTCCCCGAGGCTCTAAGGGAAACACGAAAGCTGGAGAAAGACGATGACATCTATGAGACATTCTCCAAATGTGAGGTAAATATTCCTCTCCTTAACTTGATAAAGGGTGTGCCTAGATTTGCAAATTTTTTTAAAGAACTATGTACAATAAAAAGGAAACATAGACTCAATGGAAAACAAAAAGTCCAAGTTAGTGAACGTGTTTCGGCAGTTTTTCAAAAGAAACTCCCAAAGAAATACAATGATCCGGGCATGTTCACTATACCTTGTAAGTTGGGAGGAACTGCGTTTTCAAAAGTCATGCTCGATCTAGGAGCATCAATTAATGTCATTCCTTACTCTTTATACAAATCACTTGAGCTTGGCCCTCTAAATGAAACCGGAGTAGTCATTCAACTTGCGGATAGATCAAATGCTTACCCTAAAGGTATTGTCGAAGACGTACTAGTTATGCTTGACAATTTGATTTTCCCCACTGACTTTTATGTTTTGGAAATGGAGAGTGATAAGAATGCGGTTCCTATCCTCTTAGGAAGGCCATTTTTAAAAACCGCTAGAGCAAAGATTGATGTATTTAGCGGCTCTTTAACAATAGAATTTGATGGAGATAAAGTTGAATTCAACATTTATGACTCCATGAAATACCCAAATGAAAATCATTCTTTGTTTTCCATTGATTTTGTTGACCCTCTTGTACAAAATACTTTTGAAATTAATGGAGAAGACGAATTGTTGAGTATACTTGAGAATGACTTCGGGGAAAACTCTTTAGAACTTGCCTGGACTCCCAACACACAAGCTATGCTAGTGGAATTGGATACTCACTTCCAACTCTCATTTATGCCACCGGTTATTAATGAACGGTCGTTGTTAATAACTATCCTCGATGAATTGGATATACCCCTCGATTGAGTATTCGAGAGGGGATAAGTTATAGATATGACAATGATCGACTAAATATATCAATAAGTGGAAAGTAGCAAAACCAAGTTCTTTTTATCTTTAAATTAAATCACATATAAGTTGTTCATCTTAGTTTTTAATTAAATCAAATCATTCAACCCCAAAACCCCCCTTTAATTACTAGTTTCATTTAAAAAGAGATTTATTCCTTTCCCTGTGGATACGAACTCTACTTCACTATACTACGTATAAGTGTTAGTATTGAATTTATTTTGACGCACTACAACAAACTGCTCATCACCAACCACCAAATCTTCTGCATTAAATGCGCTTCTCACCAGAATCTAGGTTTCCCGCCAATGGGTGGGGACGAGCGTCCCCATAGACTTGCTCCATGTCTTCTGTTGGATCCAAAGTCCTAGGAGACGAGCATCCCCGCTGCTCCTGAGCCAAGATACTCATCTACCCTTGGATACGTACGTCCCCTGGACCTTGGTGATGAGGCCTGGTCCTGTTGGGGACAAACCTCGTCTCGATCTGGGGGAAGGTACCCCTGTTGTATTGTGTCTCTTGGGACGTTCGTAGGGTGGACCTTAAGGGTTTATGGGTCAATCTGTGTTGGGCCATTAACCCAACACATATTATTTAGACCGTACATTTGATTTTATATTATTTATTTATAATTTTTATATGTGTATGTGCACATATATGTATATTTAAAAAACTAGATTAGCTACTTAAATTTTAAGAATGATTGAATTGTTCCAAAATATTTGATGTTAATAAATTAATTAGTTTCTGTCAAAGTTAACGACAAATTTAATGGAATGACTCGATTAATATAGATGAAATACATTAATGACTAAAATGATAGATTTAATAGTCAGAGGAACAAAACGATATGATGATAGTTCAAAGACCATTTATGCATTTTAGTCCATGAACATTTTGGAATTAGGTTTATTAGAAATTTCAATGTCTATTTATCCTAATGAATTTCTTAGATGTGATTAGGAGTGAAATTTATTGGACCAGGCCCAATTGTACAATAATAAGAGTATATATAAGCTGATGCCAGAGGCACCTCACTCTTCTAAACCCTATACTCTCTCTTCCTGTATATTTATGCTTGAGGATTAGTCGTTCCGCGGGGATCGTTTTAGCAGTGGTTGGATCTGGGTTTGGTTTCTGCAGCCTCTGCGTCGAAGAAAGCCCCAACTCCAGCTACATCTTCGGCCGAGCCACTCCGTCATCCTAGTCTGCGACGCCTCCGTCCTCAACTCTCACTCAGTATCTTTTGTCGTTTTTGTAAGGCATATAGCACTGCTTTGATTGCTGACTTATTTTTGGTTATGTTCATGGTTATTTATATTACATTTAGTATTTCAGTGTAACCACAGTCCTCTCCTTCGTCACCTGTAGTACCTGATGTTCCCACCACGGCTCCAAGCAGCGATTATGGGATTTTTAATTGATTTAGATTTTTCACTTAGCTATACATTTTTTGTTTTTTTTTTGTTTTTTTAGGTTTTCCCTGCGTTTATTGCCCCAACTTTGAGGGGAGACTTCAGCTTGGGCCACAAATGCACTGGACCTTAGTTAACCTAAGCCTGTAGCTAATCAATTTTTAAATAGAATATTTTTTCGAAAAATGGACATTTATTGATAAACTTATCATTGTCTTTATAAAAAGCTAGCTAGCTATCATATGTTAAGTATTCAAAGTAGTATAAAAGCTAGATTTACATTATTATATCTTAAAAGTTGGATATATATCTTAAGTAATGGTATAAAAACCTAGATACATGAGGAGTTCATCCTCTTTTGTTTGATTTTCTAGATACATGAGGAGTGCATCCTCTTTTGTTTGATTTGTTCGCTAAAATCAACTGAATCCATAATTCAAATGATTCAAATGGTAATTTTTTCATATGAGGTTGAGATTTCAAGCTGTTTTGTCACTTTGTGTTGTATGTAAAATAGCAATTATATATGAAAAGAATATGTATATTATATATTGGAAGTTATATATAGACTAATATAAAGGTACAGATATATCCAACTTCTGTTTCTTGTTCTCTAAAATCATCTTAGTTTGTTTTTAACTCCAAAGGATTACATTTCTTATAAGGTTGTGAAAATAAAGTCAAATATCTTACACTCAGGTAACCTTAATTCAGTGTGTTCATTACCTATTTATGTGATTCTATTCATCTACCTCATTCAGTACCTTGCCTATTAAATTTCATTACTAAAATATATGATTATACTTGTATTGTATTATTATCTAATGTGTTTTTATCTCTAAACTATATTGAATGTTATCCTGCTTAGCTTAGTTGTCTATAATTCCTATACAGATGAAGCATTTCTTAATTGGATAATCGAGTATATCAACAGAAATATTTCATATATATTTCAAAAACTATCTGGAATGTTCTCCTTGTTTTGCATTGTAATTTAAAAAATACCTGGGATAATCTCCTCATTGGGCTTCTTGTTCATTGCTCCTCTTGTTCCAGTTAGTCTTCTCATTGGATTGTATCACTTTCTATAACTTCTCAATAGGGGGTGGGGGGGGGGGGGGGCTTAAAGCGGGAGGAGTTGTCACTTTCTGTTTGTTCTGATCTTTAAAATTTTGCAATTCGTGTTTCATGTTTAACCACTTATCCAATCTAAAAATGCTACTCGTCTGTATTAAGTTGTAAGTAACCCCCCACATCACAAAACTGCTGGATAACAGGTCCACAAAATTAGGAAATAACTAATATAGTAATGCACGTCTGTTAGACATTCACTGAAATTGTAACTTCTCTCTTCTCATGTCTAGTTATTGATTGTTAAAATGTTTTTTATTTGTTTTGAATCAACTCAATTGTTTTGTTCTCAGATGCAGAATTTATTTTGCAGGTAGGAGCATAGTTTATACATTCTTTTATCTTGGAATTTAGAAATTGTAATTTCATTAGGTTTTGACTTTTGAGGCCTGAGTGGTTAGCACGACATATTGCTTCCTCTATTAAGAAGAAATTTATTTAATTTATTCAAATCACAGGATGGAATTGAAATTGGATAATGATGTATCTGCTGAATATTTAGAGTTTGATGTTACCTTTTCAATTATTTAAAGTAGATATTCCAAAAATTGTATAGTACTCGTATGAAGTCCACGTGAAATAAAAGATACAGTGCATCTCAAAATTTCTCAATTATTTACATGTATTCTGAATGATGACATCATCATGACACCATATGTGATGTCATCTATGGGCGGGAACAGTACTGGACAGACAATCCAGTTTTTATATATATAAAGATATTCACAGATGTGTTTAAGTAGATTTGTGTTGTGACATTCTCTTTAATGAAACTTGAACAGAGGAAAAGAGACATGAAGTTCATCGCCGCATACTTGTTGGCTGTACTGGGAGGCAAAGCCAGCCCATCCGCTGGTGACATCAAGAAAATCCTTTCCTCTGGTATGCCGCAATCTACATTACAGATATTTCTACATATGCCGCAACCTACTTTACAGATCTTTCTACATATGCTGCATCCTTGTATCTGTTTCATGATCTGTGTATGTGAAGTTTTGTTTGCTGTTCAGTGTATTTACATATTTTTGACTGCAAGGTCTTGTTAATCGAGAGTATATTGATTTCAAATTGAAGTTTTGAAAGAGACCATTATTAATTCTGTTTGACCATCTGAGGTGATTTAATTTACTACCACTATATCACATGTGAATTGGATCGAAGTAGAGGATTTTGTGATTAAAAAATCAAGACAATTCTTGTGTGAGAGAGGAGAGACTCCACTCCAGTGCTTTGTCACTTAACGCTTTTGTGAAGCACTAGAATTTGGATTTTGCTAGGAGAAGAAATCAGGATGGAAATTCAAGGCAAAACTTTATAAACCTAGGAATTTATACATCTTACTCCATATTAGACATATGAAGCATGATGAATTATTCGTTTTTCTTTGCATTATTTGAAAAAGCAAACATAAAAGTTCAATTTGCCTTGGCTTTTTCCCCTTTTTCTTGAGCATTTTCTTAAATATGATAGCGTTAACAAATACTATTAGCATTTGTTATTTGCGTGCTGGATCGAATGATTAACCTATTTACTTATCTGTATCCTATTTATTCTGTCAAACATGGTTTCTACTGACTACTAAATAAAGTCCATTGCATGTCCTTGTTCGTTCGTTACTCATTGACTCGAGCAATTTTGAAAATATGCTGCACCTTGCCTGTCTTTCTTATGAAAAAACATTAGTTAAAGATGAAAACGCTGCAACTCTTAAAAGATTACATTTGATTCCAGCATGTTTGTTGTATGGTCAATTGTTCTTCAACAACATCCAAGCCTTAATTCCAAAAGTATTAGGGGCTGGCTAACATCCTAATCTTCATTTGTTTCATTTGTGCAATACTCTATTTGTTCTGTATTCTTGTCATTACTTAACATCAAAACTCGGATTTCGTAGTGGGTGTTGAGGCTGATGACAGTAAGCTTGAGCTGCTCTTGTCTCAAGTTGAGGGGAAAGATATCACAGAGTTGATTGCAGCCGGAAGGGAGAAATTAGCTTCCGTACCAAGCGGTGGTGGTGGTGGTGCTGTGGCAGCTGTTGCTGCTGCACCTTCCAGTGGTGGTGGGGCTGCCCCAGCTGCTGAAGAGAAGAAAAAGGAAGAGAAGGTTGAAGAAGAATCTGACGATGATATTGGCTTTGATCTTTTTGGAGGAGATGATTAGAGGTGTTTTACTTCTATATGTTTGTTTGGATAATACTATCAAGTTTTAGCATCCCTTCCCGTTTTTTACTTTTCAATGAAGACTCCTGAATCTTTTTCTGCCTATTGTATTATTACAAATTTACAATAGCTGAATCTTGAAACTGACATCTCCCTCTTCATTCCCCTCTCAAGCCTATTTTTGAAAACGATTTTTATTAGAACACCGTATTGCGTATTTTACTTTGACTTTCAGTGGTTCTGCTGGCATTATTTACCGTTTTGTTTTACTCACAAATTAATTGTTTTTGAAAATTTACTCTTGATAAATGTATTCAGTTGTCTCAAGAGCAAACCTTTTATTTATGAGTACTTGGCCAGTTGGCCTTGAGGCTTTGAGCAAGTTAACTTTGTTATGCTTAAAAGTTTCTCAACATTTTATTTTTTCAAGCTAGTTTCTTTGTATTTACTGTTCTGTAGTAATGTCAGTAGTATTGTGTTCCAAGCTGGCCCAAAGTTAAGACTGCCAGTTGTATTCTTGCTTTGCTTATGCTCTTTCTGGGAGCAGATGTACTTCTAGGTTCTCCAAATTGCTTCAAGAAGCAGTTTTTAGAACCTCGGAGAAAACAACTTTACTTTTGAAAAATTGTTTGTGATTCTGCTTCTTTTGTTAAACAAGAAGTAGAAGCATAATCAATTCCAAATATCTCATTATAAGAAATGTCAAAGGTGAGCTAAATAGTAACAACCATTCTTGTCATACATAAAATATACACACACCCTTATCACACTCTCTTATTTACACGGACAATTATTGCAAACAATTAGAGGTGTACACATTTTGTGTATATTTTACATAGGGGTGGACTCAGGTCCGGGTCGGGACCGGGTCGGGCCTAGGCTCGGGCGGGCCGGCGGTTCAAGAATGGTGGACCCGGGACCGGCCCGGGTAGCCACCGGGTCTGGTCCGGGTCCGGGCCAGGCCGGGCCACCGGTTTGGATTTTTTTTTTGCTTTCCAAACCCCCCCACCCCCCTTCACCCCCCTCCCAAACCCCCCCAAACCCATCCTACCCATCAAGCCCAACCCGGGTGGAAGCCCAAAAATGAAAAAAAAAATAAAAAAAAATCAATTTGGCCCGGGCCTGACTCGGCTGGGCCGGTTCACCAAAATTCAGACCCGAGCCCGGACCCGCCTTACCTCCCGGGCCTAGGCCCGACCCGGACCCGAGAACCGGACCGGTCCCGGTCCCGCACAGTAGCGGGCCGGGCCGGTCCACGGGCCGGGTGGCCCGACCCGAGTCCAAGCCTAATTTTACATTCACCTATGTATACAAATAATTCTTTAGGGAAAAGTACGGGAAAGGTAATTGTGGTTGAGGCTGTTTTCAAATAGGGTCATGTGTAGTGGTGCACTCGGTTCGGGTCGGGCTCGGTTCAGGCCTTGAACCGGCCGGGCCTCGGTTCATAGAAGGCAGGCCCGGAACCGGCCCGGATAACCCCGGGTCCGGTTCGGTTCGGGTCACCTGCCCGGTTCACGGGCCGGGCTGCCCGGCGGGCTTGGCCTATTTAATTTTTTTTTAAATATTATATAATTAGAATAATTCTTATTAAAATTACAATATATTATATTCGAATTGAAGTATATTTATTTCAAATAAGAAGTACAATTGAGAATTAGGTTGAATTTAAAAAATGTAATACATTTTGTAATAAAAAATCAATCGGACTCTCCGCCTTCGGTTGTTTCCTCCATAAAGTGGCGGGTGGGAGTGATGATAATTTCTTGAGTTCTTCGTTGGGCCTTCAACCAATCGTGGAAGCAAACTAGTGTCTCAAGAGAGCACGGGCTCAACCTCGTTCTATAATCGGTTCGAACGTTGCCGGCCGCACTGAATTCTTGTTCCACGGCAACGGTTGATATTGGCATTGCTAGTACTTGCTTAGCCATCTTTGATAAAATCGGGAATGCTCTTTCATTTTCCTTCCACTACTTAAGAACGTCAAAGTCATCACCAACTTCATAATCAACATTTAATGTTAGATACAAAGAAAGCTCGTTACCTGAGCTTTGTTCAGTAGCGTGAGTTGCTTTACTTTTTTTCAAAAGAGAACCAAAAGCGGATTTTAAAAGTGATTTTCCTTTAGATGAAGAAGATGTTCGTTGCATGGGAGGGGGTACATTACCATATTGTGCATGAAATTCATTATACAATTGATGAAATAAATTACTAACCTCGTTGAATTCTTGTTTAGGGTCGATGGGATTATCATCGAACTCTTGAGTTGGAAAAAAAGAAGCATAATAGTAATCTATACAATTTGCCAAGTAAGGAAGTTTATAACGAGGATCAAGAACAAATGCAATACCATATATATATGCGGAATATGTGAATAATATTTTAAAAACTTTTGTTTCATGAAATCACAAAAATAACTAACGTAAGTGGCGTTGGAAAATTCACAAAAAGCGCCGGCGAGATTAACAGCTTCAACAAAAAATTCGTTTGCGGTAGGTTTATAAACATGACTAAAAGTTAGAGTTGCGTTATTAAAATATGCCAAAACATTAACAATTTTTTCACAAGTGTCGATGTCAGCCGGGTTTATAATATAGTTACAAGTTTGTCTTAAAAAAAGCTGGAAAATGATCTTTATATCAAACAAGTACTTGAATTAAATTATAAGTACTATTCCAACGAATAGACAAATCTTTAGGAAAAGCACAATAATTCACACGTCTATCCTTCAAATATTGCCGCCATTGCATTTTTAGTGGAGTGTTAGCCCAAATCAATTTAATTCCCCCCTTCACTACCTCCAAATCATTTCCTAATGCCGCTAAGCCATCTTGTACACACAAATTTAGAATATGACATGCACAACGTTAATGAAAAAAACTACCCATCAATGTAGAAGCACCACACAATTCACGTAATCTAGGTATAGCAGCAGTATTATTACTAGCATTATCAAAACCTACAGCAAACACCTTATCAATCAAATTATACTCTATTAAAATACGTTCAATGAGAATATAAATTGATGGATAGTGTACCCGGGGGATAGCTTATCCGAGGGGTTATTACGGGGAATAATAAGAGAGAAGTCAGAGCAAGTAAGTATAGAGAGAGAAAGTATATTGTAAAGTGTGGAGCGTTTTTTAGCGTGGTTACAAATGGGGAAATGAGGAGCTATTTATAGTAGCAATAAATGCCGGACATGGACACGTGTCAAGCGTCTATTGGCCGAGAGGTCACCTCAACTGGTTGGCGCTGGCAACCGCATGTGGCCGCATTTAATGCGGCTGTTGGATGGGACGTTGTACAGGGTACGGTGATCCACACGCATGTGGAGCGGATACTATGTCGGAAAAGGTGCCCTCGGCTGTAGATGACTAGCCGAGGGCTCTGAGTACCGGGGACCCCCTTAGTGCTGAGGGCTCCAATTGCCGAGGGCTACTGATTTTCGCCGTTTTTTCCAGTAACCTCGTTTTCCTGTCTTGGCCCTCCTGTGAGATTTAGAGCCTTCGGCCTGGGGGCCGAAGGCACCCCTGGTGCATATTGTGGGCTGCTTGGTACTCTGGGCGCTGTGATTTGGGCCTGTTGTGCTTTCTGGGCCTGCTGGGCCTTTATTGGAGTAGTAGGAGTCTGTGGGCCGGGGGTTCCCGGGCCATATACTCCATCAGGAGTCCTTCACTCCTTTTGCCGAAAGGTACTTGAGGGAAAAGGAGTAATTGTGCTTGTCCTCTGCCGTTGTTTCGTTTGTAGTTTGTAGAGTTGTGGGTAGTTTGCTGTTTGTTTATTCTACCGAGGGCAGTCCCTCAGTTACCCACATGTCGGGGCTTGAGGGGTCATGTTTGTAATTTTTGTGATTTTTCCCGAGGGGGTCCTCCATTCCCCCACTCCTTGAGGCACTTGCAAAGTGGTGAAAAGGAGTAGAGTAGTTGCGCTGTTGTTGTGGGCCGAAGGCTGACGCTTTTCGTTTCATTTTGGGGGGATGCCTCGTTAAAAACCTCATTAGGAAAAACCTTGTGGGAAAAAATCCTAATGAGGGAAAAAGAGTGCACCGAATTCCCCCAACGATGAATCGAAAATGTGAAACCTTGGTTCAAAATGGAGAATAACGGTAATGCCGAAGGCTCTCCTTGTTCTGAGGGCTCATGTGTTGATTAGCCGGAGGCTTGTTGTTGATGTCCTGGGAGGTGCCCAAGGGGAGCCCCTCAATCTGGGGATCGAGGGCGTGATGGATGAGGGTAGTAGTTGAATTGTTACCGGGGTGTCCCCTGCTTGTTGATTAGTTGGTGATGAGGATATCCGAGGGCTCCCATTACCTGTGTGCCGTAGGCTATCCGTCAATGAGGCATACTCCCCGGGGGCTACCCGGCCCTTACTGTCACGCCCCGGACCTACCCGGACACGTCAACAACCCGCCGTACAGTACGAATAGTCAACCGCAGTCCGACTCATCCATACTATACAAGGCGTCTTGAATACCATTCACACATAGTACATCCATAAACAAACATAATGTAAAACATTTATTAAAGGCAACGGAAACAATTGATACAAGTGTTCAAGCCACACTTGGCATAATTTGGCATGCAAGCCCCCAAAGTAATTATTCAGAAAATATTATCCATGAGCATTATTCATATTGTTTTCAAAACAAGAACGGGAGAAGCACGAACCAAGTCTTCTCCTCAGAAACTTCCCGAAGCAGCGGCTGGTAGTATCAACCTTCAAGTTCTACCTAAAACTGTGAGGTGGCCTCCCCCGTGAAGGGGAGGTCAGTACTTGGAAGCATTTGACAAGTACAATGACAACTATACTAAGTATAATCAAAGTTTAAATCTCTGAGGCCCTCAATCTAGAGCATTATTACATTATAGTTAATCCGTTCATTTAGTATCAATTCATCATTTTTTTTCCACGGTCTAGAGCCCAACTCATAATCACCGTTATCTACTACGGTCTAGAGCCCCGCTCATAATCACCGTCATCTACTACGGTCTAGAGCCCAGCTCATAATCACCGTCATCTACTACGGTCTAGAGCCCAGCTCATAATCACCGTCATCTACTACGGTCTAGAGCCCAGCTTATAATCACCGTCATCTACATCGGTCTTGAGCCCGGATCATAATCACCGATTCCTTATAATTCAAATTCTTAGGATCTAATTCATCCATTTCTCAACTAACATTTCCAACTAATATTTCAATGCTAGTTATTTATTTATTTCAATATAATTCCTTCTTCTTGCATAATTGGCCTTAATATCAAGTATCACTTTCATACCTTCATGGCTTCTCCTCATGGCATCAAAGTATACTATCCCAAATGCTATTCATGGTTGGTACAACCATCATACACACATATTCATAACATCTAAACATACACAATTTATTCATAAATTTGTGTATCATGCATACTATACTTATAATCAATAGTAGTTCTATTTAGGCATTATTAACCATTAACAACTCATGCACATCACACTTGTATTCACTTAGGAAATCCCATGAAATTAACCCAAAGATTATAAGTAACATAGTCGGTCATCCTCACCTTAATTAAGCTTAAGCGCGTTCTACGTTTCTCGATTGGACTTTGACCAACTCCGGCGAACTTTGACCAACTCCGACGAAACTCCGGCGAAGCTCAAAAATACTTTAAATCAAGTTCCTAACAAGGTTTTATCATCACAAAACCCATATCAACACAAATAACCTATAAAAGGTTATTTTCCGGCAAACCGGTCGATTTGGCTTCTAAGTCCGTTTTTGGACTTAGAATCACTTTCCAACCCATTATTCCACACTTAAATCATGTAGAACAATACTAAAGGTCTTTAATATGATATATATCTTATATGCTAGAAGAAAAACAAAGGAAAAGTTATGATAAGGTCATTACCTTAATTTTCACACTTTTTCCTAGCTTTTTCCTTCTTAAACTTTCTTCTTGGACTCCCTTGAGCTTGAGTTCGGATTTGGGATATGGAGATGAGAAGTTTCAGAGCCCCTCCTTGCTATACTAGGGTGCTGAAGTGTGTGGGTGGAGATGGTGAGGTAAGAGGGGTGGTTTTTGTCTCATTTAGACAAATGAGTGAAGGGAGTCTACTACATGTCAAAGGTGTCTCCCCCATCCTCTCAATTGTTGTTCAGCCAATTTGGCACTCATCCAGCCCTCAAGGGTTGACAATTTCGTGGGGTGGCCCCCACCCATGTGGGAGGTCATCCTAATTTGTCCCAAAGTGTACAATTTGCCCCGAAAGTTGTATTTTTCCGGACTGTTTTAAGTATATTTTATTTTATCGGGTCAAATAAAATATAACACTTGTTCCCAATTCTTAATGGACCTTAGAATCAATATGCATCCCTCAACTTTAATTTAGAAGTCTCCGAAATCCCTTTTCGGGCTGTTATCTGATAGATTGCCGATACCGATAATTTGGCCCCGTTTGACCAACCGGTCAACCCTATGCCATTGTCATGGCTCAACTAGGATATCCACCACCATATACATATTATCTAGTCCAAGATCAATATAATATGTGGCCCCGATAATATCGGGCGGTCCCCACTCCCGATGTGGGCCCCACGTGCATTTTACTATTCACGCGAAAAAAATATAATACAAATTCACAACT